TTTGGAAGTCTCAGTCTTTTGATTGTGTGTTTCCTGAAAGCAAGACCAATCATTTCAGTTTATTCACTGGCTAAACTCTACTTGATTGGGGACAAGCACACAAACCATCCATTACGATCTGATATATTATCCAAACAATTTAGTGTATTCATGAGGTAACCTAAATGTGGAGGCTGCAAAATTACCCGTAATCAATTGAAACAGCGAGTGCGCGTCCCTCTGTGTGTCTAACAACTACATGTCTCTGTAATAAGGCAGACATTAAATCATTTTAGAGTTGTACTGTTGAGTACCTGATCACTGGGCGCTCTGGGAAGCTGGACAGTCACATTAGGACGCTGGGACTGAGGAAGCCGCTGCTTTTCCAGTGGGATAAACCGCGACCTTCTTTGCTCAAGGTGCTTTACAGATCCCCACCGACCTGACCCTAAAGCCGTGCAATATCCAGCATAGACTACGTCGTCGTCTTCTCCTTTTATTTTTTCCTTTTTTTTTTCTTTTCCTTTTTTTTTATTGCACTACATGTTTGGGAAACAAGACAAAATGGACGTTAGATGCAGTTCAGAGACTGAAGCTAACCGGGTTTCGAAGAATGGACATAAAGAGGTCAAGGAAAGCAAAGGGTCTGAAGGAAATATTTCTACTTCTTTTTTGAAGGACCAACAAGGGACTTTTTCTGCCTCCGCAGCTACGGAAGATTGTAATAAAAGTAAATCTAGTTCGGCCGATCCGGACTATTGCCGAAGGATCCTAGTTAGAGGTAGGAGCTGGAGGGATTTCGGGAGGGAGGAGGAAGGTGACTTGTATCCGTGTCCGGGGGGTTGTTTATTTTATTTGCTTGGCTTTGCTTTGTCCCAAGGTTTAAAGACCTTCCTAGGGGCCGGGAGAGAAGATCCCCGTGTGCCGCGCTCCCCGTCCGGCTGCTCCGGGCTCTATCGCCTTTCCCGAGCGTTATTCCAGCTCCGCCCGGGCATGGAAGTGCGGAGCGCCGGGCACCGCGAAGCCGCGTTATATCCGCGCTATATCCGCTTCCCATTTTTCCTTTGTGCCGCTTCGGCTCCGGGAGTAGCCGCGGAGGATCCTCTGGGATCGCTCCTGCGCTGCCGAAGGGCGCGTTTCCCGCCCCGCAACGCGCTTCGCCCCCGCGCAGGGAGAGGGACCCGCGGCCAGGAGCGGTATTTGGGAATAATCCTCACCCGAAGAGCCGTAAAATCAGTGGAGGAAAGACACACTTTTATTGTTATTATTTTAATATAGCGGCACGTTTTTTTTTTCCCTCGCTGCTCGGCTCCTTCCGCATCTAAACTAATTAAATCATTTTAATTCTGCCCAAAAGAATTACCCGGAGAAATTTCGGGGTTTTTTAAGTGCGTTTTGGGGAAGGAAGGAAAGAGAGAAGAGGATGGTAACAAGAACAGAGCGGAGCAGGCCTTGTAAACAATAATTAATCCTTGCGCGACCGACTGACCCAGAGAGGAGTCAGATAAAACCAATGCGGTTGTGTCTGATTTAAAACATATTGAGGAGGTAAAATTGCGGAAAGCAGAGTTGGGAAGGCTTTAATGTACCATGGATCTGGCTCTAGCTTGGCAGTGGTGTTAATAAGATTTGTCCTCCTTTCTTTCGGTCGGTGCTGCCAGGAGAACGAGGTTCCTGCGGGTTGTTCGGTGCCTGGTTTTTGTTGTCTTTTTTTTCCCTTCCCCCCCATGAGTGTTTTTTTTTTTTTTTTTTACTCCCAGAGAAGCTGACACAGAGCAATGTTTTTCCCTGGGATGCTCCCAGATTCAGGGGGGGAAATCGGTCACCCTGGGACAACCAATGCCCAGAAAGCTTGCATTTTTTTTTCTGCCTTTTTTTTAACCTCATGTGAGACTTGCCTAAAAAAAATCCTCAGAGGGTTTTATACACTGAGGGGTGGCCGCGGTGCTCAGCACCCCCCAGCCCGGGCTAACAAAGAGTGGCCCTATGGTCACAAAGCCCGGCCTGGAGGATCCTTCCCCAGCCTCCCAGAAGGGCCCTGGGTGATGCCGCAGTGTCGCACTGTCAGTGCAATGTATTCAAGCCAATTTTAAATGGGCTGAGGGGATTATTTCCAGACCCCTGGGCCCCATCGCCCCCCTCCTCCTTTCTCTGTTGTTTTCTTCCTTCCTTGGGTGTAGTGGCCAGGTGCAGCGCCGCAATCTCAGGGACGTTGCTCCATCCTGGGCTTGGGGCTCGGACTCGAAGGCGCTGGCGGCGGCACTTCCGACCTCCCTCGGAAGAAAAAAAAATAAAAAGAAAATGGAAAAAAAATGGAGGAGAGGGTTGAAAAGAAAATAAAAAGAAAATGGAAAAAAAAAATGGAGGAGGGTTGCCTGGGTGTAAAGCTGACTGCGCCTATCTTTGCCAGATGCCAAAGGTTCAATCCGAGAGATTATTCTGCCCAAGGGGCTTGATCTGGACCGTCCCAAGCGGACCCGCACCTCCTTCACGGCCGAGCAGCTCTACCGCCTGGAGATGGAGTTCCAGCGGTGCCAGTACGTCGTGGGCAGGGAGAGGACGGAGCTAGCGCGGCAGCTCAACCTCTCCGAAACGCAGGTAAGGGCCCGCCGACATTCCCTATGTGCCCTTGCGGTGCATCCCAGCATGTCCCCGTCGTGCATCCCTGAGCGTTTCTGCAGTGCATCGCTGCATGTGCCCAAGGTATATCCCTGGCACGTTCACAGAATGCATCCCCGGCACATGCATATGGTGCATCCCTGACATGTCCCTATGGTGCATTCCCAGTACATCCCTATGGTGCGTCCCCATCACATCCGTACGGTGCATCCCTGGCACATCCTTATGGTGCACCCCTGGCACATCCCAACTATGTCTCCTGCTCCTGGGAGCAGCGTGTGCTGTGGTGCAGTCGCATCGTACTCGACTTGTTTCTTTTCACTCTGTCATGGCCCTGTTGCCAGCCCGGCCGTGGCTCCCACCGGAGCCGCAGGGAAGCAAGGGGCTTCTCCCAAAGCTGCAGGGGGTTTCTCCTGCTCCTCGGGCTGGAGGAGCAGCAGCTCCACAGTCCATGGGGAGAGCAGCCCTGTATGCCACCTCCTGGTACCCTCCTCCCATGAGGGGACCCTCCTTCCCGCATCCCGCGAGCAGGGAAACCATCTGGAATTCCTATGGGGGTGCCGGTGCACGAGGCGCTGAAGCCGGATGGGGCTGTGTTGCCGCTGCTGTTGGGGTCGGGATGTGGCTGCATCCAAGCAGGGTCCTGCACCCCGTTCCCCCCAGCTCTCAGTGCTTCCCTCTCACAGCAGCTGTTGCATCCAAACACTTTCCATGGACCCGAAGATTTGCCTCCTCAGCTGACTGGGGTTTTCCCTATTTTCCCCTCATTTTCTTCCACTGAGGCTTGCCCAGCGCAGGGATGAGGGGGCGGATGGTACCTTCGGGGCAAGGGCAGGAGAAGTGACTGCTTTGGAGCCTGTGTGGATGCTGGTGGGCAGAGAGTGCGCCGGCTGGGCTGTGGTCCGAGAGATAATTTATATTGATATCTGCGCAAAAGCTGGCATTTAATGCAGTCATGAGGCTTTAGGTGCGATAGATAGAACCGTGCAATAGCCCTGCGTTAGTGATACCCACGAGCAGGGCAGCCACGCACTGCGGAGCAGCTCCAGCTGCTGCGAGCTCCCGGACAGCCTGGAGAGACCTCAGGGCTTCCGATATCTCCATCGGAGCAGCACATCCTCCGGATAGGGGGGATGCTGGTGCTGCTGTGGCTCTTCCCAGCAGGGAGAGGCAGAATGCAGCCCCTTCGGGCTGTTTGCAGCTATTTGGGCTGTTTGGGGCTGTTTTGGGCTCTTTTGCCAAGGGAGCCTTGCAGAGCCGGTTGGTCGCCATGGGTCTGGGGGCTATCGGAGCTGGTGCCGCACCTTGCGGCTGAGAGCAAAGCAGGCAATGCCAGGGATGGGGGCAATGTCCAAACCTTCACGTTTGCCCTAAGAAGCAAAATGGCTCGTTCTGGGCACCCTGAATCATTCCTCCCCTCTATACAAACCCCAAATGAAGGTGGGAGATGGGAACCCTCCCGCGGGGCCCAGCGGCTCCTCCCCACTCGCCGCCTCTTTGCACCCAGTGCCCGGTGAGAAAATTCTCGCCCCGTAGGCCATGGCTGTCTCCTCTCCTCCCCGCACCGCCTCGCTCCTGCTTCCCTGTCTTTTTTAATCCTTTTCCATGCTTTTCATGGCGTTTTCCCTCCCCGCGGCGCTGACACCTCCCTGGACCCCAGCGGGTGCTCGGTTCCAGTGGCTCCCGGTCCGGGGTGCGATGCCGTGTGTGCAGCGCCCAGGAGAGCCCAGTGCAGCCTCTGCAGCACCCGGAGCAGGGATGGGGCTGCGCTGCCCCCCGCACTGTGCCCCTCAGCCTCCCCCCAGCTTTTCCTGCTCCAAACTTCCCTGCGCGCCGCAGGAAAGCTGCAGGAGGCACAGAGCAGGGCAGGGTTTTTTTAAGAAAACAAATTTCACTTGGGGGAAGTGACAGAAAGGACAAGAAAAGATTCCGCTTATCTGCAAAGCAAAACAGAACAGAGTGGTGCAAACGGTGTGACGAGATGGGAAGAGACATGATGTCCTCGCAGCTGGAGAGCTGCAGCCGGGTGGCCCCGGACACGGCTCCACTGAGGAGGCTTCACCCCTGAGCAAACCTGCCATGGAAAGGAGCAAAAAACCCCAAACGTGGCTCCTTGAGACTCCTGTTTGCTTCCGTGGGGTCTGTGCTGGCTTTTTTTGGCACATTGAAGGAAGGTTGTTATCGCTTCTGGAGCGGGAGCAGGGAGAGGCCAACAGGCTCCAGGTCCGTGTTGGACCGTGGGAAGCTCCTCGCTGCCTTGTTGCTCATCCTGGTCCGAATGTGGGAATTAACCAGGAGTGAAGGCGGGATTTGGTCTGTAAGGGAGGACCAGGGAGCAGGTCCCTCCTGGCCTTCTGCAGCTCCATAATTCTCCTGCTCCCCCTGGGAAGCCAAGGAGCTGCTGTGTCCCACCAGGAGGTGGGTCAGCTCCCCATGCCACATGCTGCTTCTCTCATTGATCCATGGCCGTGGCTGTTGGAAATCTCCATGGGGTGGGAGGGAGGAGGCCTGGCCACCCACATGGATGTGTGGCTGCCACCTTGGAGAGCTGCAGCGTCCCCTGCCCTGGCATGGGGCAGTGCAGAGAGCCTCTCCAGATGCATCCTGAGGGGACGCAGAGCAGGGAGCAGCCAGTGTCCGTGTCCCGGCTTCCTCCGGCGGCAGCTCCAAGGCGTCGCGGAGAGGTGCCCCCTCCTAGGGTCATGCGAGCTGGAAAACACTGAGCACGGAGACTGCGTGACAGAGCAACCATGGGGGGAGGATAATTCCCACAAATCCTCGGGCAGGAGGAGATGAGAAGATGGGGCTGGCTGAGGGGATTTGCCGGGGGCCAGGAGGCTTTGCTTTCTAGGCCATGAGGTCAGTGCTAGGCGCAGGTTGGAGCGACCTGCTCTCCCCGTCCTCATTAGAGCAGGACGTGGCACGCACATCTCCTGGCTGCCTTGGACATGTCACATCAGGTGCTCTCCACACAAAATCCAGCTGCAAGGGTTGTCCTGCTCTGAAGCAGCTCATCCCATCCCCAAAGGCAGGTGCTTTGGGCGCCGGAGATGTTCTTGCTCCAGGAGACCATGCCTGGGAGCACAGATGAGAGGTCCTGGGACCCTCCCTGGTGCTGTCCCCCTGGGTGCACCTTCAAGAAGATACTGGGGAACTTTTGGGCTCGCTGGCGTAGCAGTTGGCCATCCCGTGTGGTGGGAAGGCACCAAGCGGAGGGAGCTCTTGGACCACATCACATGGAACGGACCCACCTGTAAGCCTGGAAATCCATGGGGCTTCCCCCACCATGGGGCCCTGGTTCTGTCATGGCTGGAGTGGTCAGAGCGCCTGGTAGGATCTGCTCTGGGAGCGGTTCCTGGAAATCCTGGGCAGAGGCTCTTCCCTCTGGCACCATCACAGTACCTCCGTACACTGTGGGACGGGATGCCCGGAGGTGCTTCCAGGACGGTGATCCCCCACACTCAGTGCAGAACATATGTGAGAAAGCAGCTGAGCCAGAGGAGGGCAGGAAGGGCTATTTATAGCAGTGCAATTAGGATGTTGCTGTTAAAAATTCATCGCACCTCAAGTCATTAACAAGTAACAGCAAGAGAAACGATGGAGCTGTACGCTGCGTTGGCACGAGCTGTCCCCACTGGTGCAGAACTGCTGGGAAGCTGGAGGAGGTGTAGGGCATCCAGAGCTGGAGTCTGAGCACTGTGGGTCAGGGTTCTCCCAGGAGGAAGAGGCAAACGGGACTATGAGCCTGCTCTTGGGGCCGCGAGGCAGAGGGATTTGGGTATCCTCAGTTGCCGTGCCACTGGGAAGGTGAATCTCCAGGATTTTGTTGGAGATTGCAGAGAGTGCAGACCAAGGCAGCATAGCCAGCTATGTTCTGTTCTGAAGGGGCAATCATCCTCTCATCCATTCATCCATCCATCCATCCATCCATCCATCCATCCATCCATCCCTGCATCCCTGCATCACTCCATGTTGCCACTCTGGGTGGCTCTGTGGTGTCTGGACCCATCAGGCTCAGGTCCCCATGCGGGTGCTCCCCGCTCTCAGGATGTCCTGGAGCTGGAGGCAGGAGAGTATGTCCCAGGAACACGAGTCCCTGCGCCCCGACGGCCCTTGTGGGGTCCCCTGGTGCCACCATTGCCACCCTTCTGCGCCGGTCCCCTCCTGCGTGCCCGCTGGTGACTAACGGTGCTCATGTGCCCTGGTAATCCCACCTGTCCCAACAGAAAATGCCCCGTAAGGGATTTCTCAACCAAGACGAGGAAATGTTTGTTTTGAGGATGATGTCTTCCATTTGAAAGAGAAAGAAAAAAAAGGTGTTTTTTTTGTTGTTGTTGTTTTGCTTTGTTTTGGTTTGGTTTTCTGCGGGGAAATGTGAACTTCTTGTGAAAAAAATAGATGACTATCCTATTTTGGTGTCCCTAAAAAGGTAAATGTTGTAATGATGTGTTAGGAGGCAGAGCAAAATATCTGGCTGCTGCTACTGCTCCCCAAGTACAATTAGCATCAGACAGAATGCTTAATTTAAATAAATGAGGAATATTTAATTTTAAACCTTATCATGAGCATTTTCCAGCTCAAACATCCCTCCCCCTGCAACAAGAAATAGTTTCACAAGGCACTAGTGATTTCTTTTAGAGTGTGTGGGGCATTTACAGAACATTGTACAAGGATTTTTTTCCCCTTTTCCCAATATAGTCCAAGCCAAGTGAATCTGAGGGCAGCAGGTGCCGGCGCTAGTGCCGTTTTGTCCAGATCTGGAGGCTGCTGTTGGTGCGGCACTTCTGGAAGAGCTGATGGTTGGCGAGTGTCAGCCGAGTGCTCATCCTGGAGCAGCAGGGATGAAACTGGCCTTGGAGGGAGCAGGGAATAGCGCGGGAGCAGGGAATAGTGCTGTGGATCCTGCTGTGCAGTGGTGGGTACAGCATTTCGGGCTGTATGTGCATGCACATGCACTGCTGTGCTGCGGGGATGCAGTATTTTGGGAGTTGCGTGCTGTGTATGCACACGTGGGGGTGCACGTGCAAGCACACCCGCACATGGGCATGGGCCTGCAGGATGGGGCTGGCTGCATGTGCGCACACATGTGTGCAGGCATGTGCAGGCATGTGCATGCGCACAGCACAGCGCCCAGGAGCGCAGCCGCTCCGAGCGGCGACGCTGCCTCCCGCGGGGGACTTGGGAATGGAGCTTGCTGGAAGCCGCTGCCGACAGCGATGCTGCTGCCTGAGCTCTGCGTCGCTGCTGTCCGCATTCCTTAGGGCCGCATCCCTGCTGGAAAGCAGCTCTGGGGACTCTGTAGCAAATTAAATCCTTTAGGATGGTGGGTACAGTACGGAGGGGACGCAGGCGCGGCAGAGCCCGTCCGGCTGTCAGCAGCAGCCGGTGACATTGCCGAATGTCCCCGTAGCGGAGCCCGTTTCAGCCGCTCAGTGACATTTCGAGTCGCTCTCCCTCCGCAGCGGTGACAGGGCCATGCTGCTCCCCTGCCCCGCTCCCGAGCAGCGAGCCGGGGCCGCGCGGGCACGCGGAGCCACCGTGACATTTGAGGAGCGGCCCGAGGGCCGGGAGCTGTGGGGGCGACCACAGACGGGGAGGCTGCGGGAGGACAGCTCTGCACAGCGGCCGGGACCGGGATGAGCCCGAGGCTGCGGGATCTGGGAAGCGGGGGACACTGCAGCCCTGGCACGGGGCGAGGAAGAGCCGGAGATGCTTCCTGTGCATCGTTGGGCTCTGCTCCGCGTGGGAAGAACGGCCGGCATGGAGCAGGGGACAAGTGTGGCGTGCCCAGGACCTGCAGCCACATTGCTCGGGAGGTTAATGTGCTCTGATGACTGTGATGAGTTTGAGAGGCAGAAGGGGTTTGATCCCAAGTTTTATCCCTGGTCAGTATCCTTGCAGGGAAGAGGATGCTCCGCCTGATCCCACTGTTCCATGGCGCGAGTATCCCAGACAGGAGCCCTCAGCTGGGCACCCGCAGGGCTTATAACCCTGCCGATCTGCCCAGTTCCACGTCCTCCCATGCGCTCCAGCAGGTTTCCTGCGTGTGGTGTCTGCGAGGGCTGTTGCAGAGACCCCCGTCCAGCTCCGTCCTCCGAGAGCCGCCGCCGTCCTCGCTGGCGCGCGACCCCGCGCGCTCCCGCGCTCACAGCCCAGAGCTCCGTCCCCGCCAGGCCTCCCCTCTCCTGCTCCAGCAGCCGTCTCCTCATTTTGCATGCCAGCAGCTCCCCCTCCTCCTCCTCCTCGCTGCTGAGGAAGGCACCGGGCAGAGCTCCCATCAGTGCCCGCCGCTCGGCTGCCGCCTCATGCCGGGGTCGTGGGGGCTCTACAAATAAGAGCATTTTCTCGATACAGCAGCTCGGTGCCCCGGAGGAGGCAGCCCTTCTTAGGAGAGGCCATATGCCAGGAGATGCTGCTCGCAGCAAGACAAGGTTGCGAGATAAATACTTCATGTGAGCAAAGCCAGGAACGGCAGGGCTCCTCGGAGGAGGTGCCTGGAGGAAGCGAGTGAGCAGGAGCGCTCAGCTCGTGCACTCGCCGTCCTCACCCCTCCGTGCGCAGCACAGGTGCCTGGGATCCCTGCGGATCCAGCTGCACTCCGCAAGCACAACCAGCTGGTGGTCCTGGTCCCAAGGAGAAGCCCTGCAGACCCAGGGGCCTCACACTCTTCCTGGGCATCCTCCTGAGACGGAGGAGGCTCTGTGTCCTCGTCCCTGCTCCGCACTCCCTCTTCTTCTCGTTGCTGGCCTTTCTTTCCATTCCTGGGGAAAGGGTCACTTGTCCCACTTGGTTCTTCCCAGTCTGGCGGGGACCTTAGGGGTGGTGGTTTCCCTGGAAAAGCCCCTCAGCTGCTAGCAGGGCACCAACCCAGAAATGAAATGTTGTGTGGCCACATTCTCTCATCCCATTGCATGCAGGCACCAGGCTGCAGCACGGTGCCCTCCCTTTGCTCTTCCCTTCCTCCACATCAGCATGGGGAGGGCACCCCGGACAAATCCTGGACGTGCTCCAGTCCACCCAGTCACTTGGATGAGGGTAAAAGTGAGCTTTTTGGAGAAGGGAATGAACTAGACCATGACCAAGTGTTAGCTATGGGGCCGATGGGGAGCTGTGAATGAAATGGGAGCACAGGGATAACCGGAGAACTGGCAGCATGGGGCACGAGTGGTAATAGAGGGGAAATGGTGAAGGATATCACTGAAAGACGAGGGATCAGAGCCGCAGGGAAATTACTCATGGAGTTGTCAGGGATCGGAGATGGCTGAGCCTATTTACATCTCCAGTGATAGGAACCGAGTGCTTGAGCATAATGGAGGGTGAAAAGGACACGGATCTACTAATTAATGATAACCTGGCTATGAACTTTAGCCATGAAGGCAAATGCGATCCTGCTCATCTGATTTGTCATCGCTAGGGATAGGGGAAAGCTCGTTCCAGGCTATGAGGACACCTTATCTAACAGCGTGTGTGGCTGGGGACATGGCATTCAGGGACGACAGGCTTGGAGGAGACCTGCAGAGATGGGAAGGGAGGACCGCAGAGCAGAGCTTGGTTGGTACCCGGGCAGAAAGCCCTAGAAAAATGATGGAAAGGTCCCTGGAGAGCCACTGATGTCTAGACTAAGAAGGGACGTCCTTCGTGCATGGTGAGCTGCTGCGTGGCTCATTTGGGGACCACCTTGGCTGCGCTGCTGTGTGCGTCCCCATCCACATCCCTTGGCTTTTGGCTGTCCAGAACCCCAGGACAGACAGCCCTGCTTCATAGTTATGGTCAAGGGTAACGGTGTGACATGAATTCGTCCAGCTGAGTAACACACGAGGCAAAGAGCTGTGGGGAAAAGCCCTCTCCTTCCTTTGGGAAACACCCATGTTCCTCAAGGATGTTCCTCAAGAACATGATTCCTGAGAAATGCACGGTGCAGCACACGGCTGTGGGGGGTTGCGGGTGCTGGTTGTGCTCATCCTGACCCCTTTCTGCTCCTGCCGGCCCGGTGGCAGCTCCTGGCGGAGCATCCCCGCTCCCGCATTCGGGCATCCCCGCTGCCCTGACCCCGGGCAGGGGCCGGGGGCCGGGACCTCCTCCGCCCCCACGGTCCATTAGCTCCGTACTGTGGCTCTATTGTGCTGCGGCAGCGGCCGCTGTCCGTCCGTCCGTCCGTCCGTCTGTCCTGCTGCAACCGCCCCCCAGTGATTTGCGGGAGTTGGGGATGGACGGGGGCAGAGCTGCTGCTCGTGTGCCCGGGGCTCTGCACCCGTGTGTCCCCCCCTGCCACCGCTCTAATCCAAGTATCTCCCGTTCATGTCCTCCCCCACCATCCGTCTCTGTCCGTCTCTCTGTCCCTCGCATCTCTCTTTCTGTCTCTCCTACCCCTCTGTTCTTCCTGGGCAGGGACAGATGCGTCCTCGTGTCCCCAGGGTTTGGGGGTGCTAGGGGCATGCGGGGACATCTCGGGGTGCTCAGAGCCCAAGGCTCTGGTTTTGGAGGGGATCACATGGGGGACCCCGCGCTCCTTAGTGGGACTAGAGGCAAGTGGAGCTGGGGGGGTGTCCCCGGGTGCCCCACGGGACCTGTTCCAGCACTTCCAAGTGTGAGCAGAGCGTGTGCCCCTGGCCAGGGACGCCCTTGCCTGGCATTATGGACCACCAAGGGCAGGCCTCGTGGGAGCAGCCCTGTCCTGATCCCACACCGCCCGCAGAGGGAAATCCAGCAGCTCCCATAGCGCAGCCCCTAGGGAGCATCCCCACGCAGGAGCCACTCAGCCATGGGCCCTGCTCCCATGCGGGTGCCCAAAGGGTGCCCATTGCATCCCAGGGTGCTGGGGGGACCAGCGCAGTATAGGAGAGCCCCAGGCCACCTCCCGCTGTCTCACTCCTGGACATGCCACGGAGCATCTCCCCATCTCCCATGTGTCAGAGGCGGCCACATCCTTGGGGCCGGCACCCCAGAGCCTTGCGGACGGGGCCAGCCT